GGTCATGAGGAAGGTGAGGGTACCCACGACCTTCCACGTGATCGATCCTTCTACTACTTATCATGCGCTTCTGGGGTGCACCTAGATAAATGATCTAGGAGTGGTCCCTTCTACGTATCACCAGTGCATGAAGATGATTTAGAATGAAAAAGAAGTGATGATACCCACGACCGAGTACCCCTTTAGTAGCAATGAGGCACACTTGGCGAAAGAAGCACCATACGATGAAGTGGCCACAGACGCCAGTCGCCAGTCCATTACAACAGCCCTTATCCTTCCCTATCCCGTCCCGGGAAGAGGTTCAGCGAGAAGTCTACGTAACACCACGAAGGGTTAGTGTGAAAGAAAGGCTCGAAGAACGGGCCCAAGGAAAAAGACAAGTTGAAGAGCCCTTGCGGGAGGTGACTCCATAGAGATGTATCCGTCGCATCCTACCTGATGGGCGAGTCACTTAACAGTTATGATGGTGTAGGGGGGGCCACTCACGAGACCGGGAGGGTGAGTCCCCGAGACAAGCTGCATAAAACAAAGGCCAACATCACCACGACGCCCACTAACACATTCCCCACGCCAAAATGCATGGAGGATCGCCTTAAGCCGTAGGAGCTGGAGCTCAAGGAAGTAAACTTCACCCCACTTGGGGAACCACCGCGACCAGTCTTCATTTGCAAGGGGCTATCCCCAAAAAAGAGACAGACGTTCTTGGCACTACTGATAATATATGCTATTTTTTGAATGGAGATATGAGGAGATGCCCGAATTGGACCCAAGTCTAGTCTGCCACAAGCTAAACATCCGCCCCACAGACAAGCCAGTCAAACAACATTCACGAAACTACGCCCTTGAGGTGATGATAAAAATCAAGGAAGAGTTGAAAAAGTTGTTGTGGGTTACCTTCATCAAGCCTATTAAGCACCCTGTGTGACTGTCAAACATAGTGCTCATCAAGAAAAAAAGTGGGGCCATCAAGATATGTGTAGATTTCAGGGACTTGAACAAGACATGCTCGAAAGATGAGTTCCCGTTGCCAAATGTCGACATTCTCATCGACGTTACCTCAGGGAACGAGATGATGTCTTTCATGGATGGGTTTGTGGGGTACAATAAAATCTAGATGGTCGTGGAGGATGCAGAAAAAACCGCTTTTTGGACCCCCTTCAACAACTTTTACTATACAGTAATGCCTTTTGGGCTAAAAAACGCAGGCGTGGCCTATCAACATGCTATGGTCGCGATTTTCCATCACATGATGCACGATATTGTGGAAGACTATGTCGATGACTTTGTTGTAAAATCGCGGAAGGAAGAGGACCATATGGCAAACTTGCGAAGAGTATTCGAAAGGTGTCAAAAGTATAACCTACGCATGAACCCCCTAAAATGTGCCTTTGGAGTAACAATAGGGAAATTTCTTGGCTTCCTAGTACATCAGCATAGCATAGATCCAGATGTAAGAAAAATAAAGGCTATCCAGAACATGCCCGAGCCTAGAAGCCAGAAGCAGTTAAAGAGTTTCTTTGGGAAGGTGTCCTACCTACGGTGATTCATTCCAGCCCTTTCAGAGGTAACCATGTCGTTCACCCCTTTACTCAAGGAAAAGGCACCGTTCAGTTGAAACGTGGAGTAATAGCAGGCTCTCGACACAATCAAGAAGGCTCTCGACTCCACCCAAACTATGGTTGCACCACGAAAAGGCCAACCTTAGTTACTATACCTTACCTATACTGGCAAGGCTATCGGAGGATTAATAGCACAAGTGGTGGAGGGTCTAGAAAGACCCATCTATTACTTCAATCGAATTATAAAAGATGTAGAAACAAGGTACCTCCAGGATAGAAAGGCATTGTCTGGCCTTTGTATTTGCAGCAAAAAGTTGCGACACTACTTTCTCACTCACGAAGTCAACCTGATGACCAAGTGTGACCCTCTCAAGTATCTAGTGACGTGCCCCGCCCTAACAGGATGGGCAGCGCGATGACTTCTCGCTTTATTGGAATTCGACATTAAGTGGGTAGCACCGAAAGCGATAAAAAGCCAGGCTCTGACTGACTTATTGACCTATTTTCCAGATAATGAGTACGAATTGCTCAAAGAAGAGCTACTAGGACGAGAACCAGAACAAGGGCTTCCCATGGTTGCGACACCCTCAAAGACCGCGGGACCCTCCACAACTGTGGAACCCACATCCATTGCGAAAATACTTACTACAATGGATGTCATACCCCCGACCAAGTGGCACTTAGTGTTTAATGGCTCATTTATCCTAAGTGGGGGGGAGCGGGAATAGTGCTGACTAGACATGAAACCAAGAAAAAAATAATTTTATCATATAAACTGGATTTTCAATGCACCAACAAGGCAGAATATGAAGCACTGGTTCTAGGATTACTCGCGGCACGAAAGTTAGGCATACAAAATATCCAAATCAGGGGGGACTCAAAACTTATCATTAAGCAAGTAACTGGGGAATATAGTGTATAGGAGCCAGCACTTGCCAGGTATAAGGCATTGGTACAGAGGCTGCTAGAGGAATTTGAGAAGGCCACCATTGAGCACGTCCCGCGAATAGAGAATAGGTTCCCCGATGTGCTGGCTACTTTGGCATCAAAACTGGACATGGTAGAAGAAAAAGGCGACCATCCAAGTAAAAAGGCAAACACTGCCGACTCCTATCACTAAAATTTTTTCAGCCACAAACTACAAAGATTGGAGAACCCCTATAGTGGAACAGTTGAAAAAAAGGACTAGAGAAATCCTAGTTAAAAAACTAAGTCAGTTCACTATGATAGGCGGAATGTTGTATTTCTGCGGCCTTGAGGGAGTTCTCTTAAGATGTCTTTCACAGCAAGAATCACACGACAGGTTGGTTCAAGTCCACCAAGACACCTATGGGGACGCAGACATCAGTCTCTATAAGAGACTCCAGAGCAAAGGATATTATTGGCAGGAAATGGCCAATGATGCCAGGGAGGTGCAGCGAAATTATCTACAATGTCAGTAACACCCAGAATCCAAGGAGTGCATCATCGTAGAAGAATTAGGGGATTGGTGCCAACTGTACATCAACTTCCTTCGTGAAGGGTCATTTTCAGCAGACAAGAGTGTCGCGACAATGGTTAAAAGAAGAGCCCCTAGGTTCTTTTTGAATAACAATGAACTATATAAAAGATGGTTCAATGGAAAAAGCCTAAGGTGCATCGCGGGCAATGAGGTTTTGGAGGTGCTAAAAATGTTACATGCCGCAGAGCACCAAGGAGGGGCGAACCTATACACCCAGATGTTGGACTTGGGGTATTACTGGCCGAAGATGGAGGGGGAATGCATAGAGCACGTACGAAGGTGTGATGCCTGTCAGAAACACGAGGATCTCATTCACGCACCTACCGCAAACTTAAGGACTTTAGCCACCCCATGGCCCTATCATACTTGGGCCATGGACCTTATGGACCCATCAATCCTCTATCTCACGAAAATATATGGATATTGGCCGCAATAGAGTTGTTCACAAAATGGGTGGAGGCAGCGATCGATTCACAAGAACAAATTGATCGATTCACAAGCACAAGACAGCGATTGACATCGTTCTCCAAGAGATAGCGATCGAGAGGCATTGTTCTCTAAGAGACATCGTTCTCCAACATGTTTCTTTTTCTTTTTATCGATGAGGGTAGTGGTGGACTTTGATTTTGGAGGAATTTCAGCCGTTCCATTGGAGTGGCTACAAAACAGAGACTTCGTGTATAGTTTGTATCGGTCAATATGTATCATATCGTAAAAACGTATCGTGTATCGGATGATACTATGCAAAAACAATACAAAACTCTTATTCGTATCGTTTTACCTCTGTATCGTGACGTATCGTACGATACGTATCACATATCGTACGATACTAACAACTATGATCGCAACAGGGCGACATACATCCCCATCACATTGAAAGTGAAAAAGTGAACCCTTCACCATGGGTGGACAAAAGTGGAATCGCAGAAGTATGGGGCAAACTCGGCGAAACTTGTCTCTCCCACTGCGGAAGTGGTATCCTCAACCTATTGGACACTATTGCTCGACTGGCCCACTGGACTAAGAGGAGATGTCCCCACCTAGGGACATGGAAGTACGACCCTCAAGGGAGAACTGAGCAACGGAGGTGGACGAGCACAATTGTTAACGTTGGCCTGGGGCAGGGTCTCGAGGGTTTAGTCTGCTCAAGCAAGCCTCCCAGTGTATAGCTCATTGCCCACTGGGATATGCTTAATTGGGATCCAAAGAAACTCCTAAGGTAACTGGAGTTATTAGTCCGGATCAGCGTATGGGATGATGGGACATATGAATTGGTGGCTGAAGAACCGAAATTATGTGGGTTTGCTTTATCGGGCATCTCGACAAAATTCTCAAGGAAGGGTCTAGAGAGGGAAAAGACCCCGGGTTGGAGCGCATTGAGGGCATCGCGGGCATGGTCCTCTCAAGGTCATGGTCCCACGGTGACTAGTCGTAGTCATGGACCTTGGGAGCCCTCTCTTACCTTGGCTGTCACACCTTCCTTGGGGCCACGTCCAAGTTGCATTTAAGGAAATATCACACCTGCCTAGTTAATGTTGGGAAACATGGCTCACCGTTAATGGCCATTGTTATCGTCGCAATCGAGGCAGTTATGGGTTAGCATGAGTGGTAGGGGGTCGCGACGGGTAGCCCTTTAGGCAACTCGACCTGCCCAAGCACTGTACTACAAATACCCATATTACTTGTCGGAGGATGATCTTCTAGCTGGTGAGAGCATATTTCACCTACCGTCTGCCCAACTGGTTGGTCCCTTCGTTAACAGACTGATCAAGTTCCTTCCATCTCATCTACTTATCTTACTCACCCCCTTCGATTACACTTGACATAGACACGTGTGTCAACCTCTTTTAACTCCCCACTTACATTTTTCTCTCTCTTTGAGAATTTGATATTAGTTTTACAAAAAGAACTCAAAAAACAGACTTCTACAAATTGAAGTTTTATTGATAAGAAGAAAGTACAAAATACCTGTTCAGGGACAAGAAAGCATGACCCCACTTGAACTTGCCTAGCAATAGATTTGCAGTTTCCTGCTCCCCACTATTAAAAAATATGATAAAACTGTATAAATAAATAACTACGAACTACTCTAATTCAATTCATGCCAACACATGTAACAGAATGGGCACAATCCAAGCAAATACATGTACCACCACCCCTCAAACATAAATGTGTATCATTGAAGTCGTCCTTTTGACCATCGGAGATATATTCCATTCTAAGAGGGTCTAAAAAATACTATACTTCCTATCCATTTTTTCCACTTTTCAGATGGTTAATATTTCTCAAAAATATTGGGTGTAAATCAACCTCTTGTTTGAATTGAAATGAGACAACAGACCCCAAATCAGGGTTGGATGGAGCCTATGGCCATCAAAGTGATGGCATTAGGCCCCATGAAAAAAATGAGACCCAATTTTTTTTATGAAGTAAAAATGAAGCCCCAATTTTATTACGTGGTATAGTTTATGATAGTATTTTATACTCGATAAGAGTCTAAGTTCAATAAAAATAGTCTTATAAAAGTTTATAATTAGGGAAAAAAATATAAGACCAAGCCTAAATGATCAATTAATAGATACATTTGATCTAAGTACTCCATTTTTCCAAAGAGCAATACTACGAAAACCTAAAATTCTGGTCTAATAATTTGATCAAATCATGCGACAATTGACATAACCTAATAATATTTATATAAATATCATTGTTAGACTTTTTTAATGGGATAATAATACATGCTACAACATTAGATCAAATAATTATGTCATATTTTTAGGTCCTAATATATTTTTGTTGTGTAAACCGTAAAACTAAAAACAATCACCACCTCATTATTTTCTCTCTCAATTTCGACCACTCAAATAACAAATTTTTTAATTGAGGTACTAAATTAGATAATAAAGTTAGATCTTTTTTAAGTTAATACTTTGCTTGCAATATATTACTTACATTACTTTTAACAATTACTTTTACAAGAAGTTTTCAAAGATTAATATTAATAAAATCTTATCACAAATTGATTGTATTATAAGAAAAATTAAGTAAATTAATCATACTATTAACTAAAAATAATAAGTTACCATTAATATAATACAAATATTTAATTAATTAAAAAGTACAAAATTCACTTTTCACTTAGATCTGTCGCTTTAGGCATCCAATCATCTTGAGCCGGCCCTACCCCAAATAATTTGGACAAGGCTTTCCTCAGTTTACTTGAGTTGAGTTATGTGAGTTCTTCCCCGTCGAATCAAATAGCATATCTGAAAGAGGTTAAAAAAAAAATCCTTCTTCAATTGAATTTATCCCCCTGATAGAGGTGCTTAAAGTGATCGAGTAGATAGATATACTAAAAAATGTCGACCAGCAGAAGGAAAAGATTTGGACTTTGATTAGGTGCATGCTTATATATTGAAATAATGCATAGGAGATAATTAAATCCTTCTCGTTTTAAGTATGCACGTTAAGTGCAGGCATTTGGGTTGATATCAAATATGGCTATCCTCCTAACATTCCCAAATGTGAGGGCAAACTACATTGTTGAACTTCTCCAATCTTCTTTATTTTAATACCTTCATGTTAGTTTGGCAGTGTCTCATTATAGAATTAGCCTCTCCGATCATGAAACTTTAATTATTTCTCAAACACAACATATCATGGCCAACCAAAATTTAAATCAGCATGCAGTTAGTTGCCAAATAAAACAGAACTCACAACTAGACAAAATGGGGTAGAATTTCATACCATATAATTAAACCTGCAGATAAGGCCTCAACGCAAGACAGCTGACATGGTCGACCATAATTTACTGGATTTGCTGCTACCAACCATGGTACTGCAATTTCATGTGGCTTGTTCATTTCAAAGAAAGATGCTGGGGCAAACAACTAAAAATGATGTATACACGAGACATCATGAGTTAACTAAGCATTCTCATTCAAGACCACTTTCGGTGACCAAAAAACTCGAACAAATGAATAAATACTTCATGTTGGCCTTGTATTTCTGTGTTTTGATATTGTTAACCTCCAATTCTGGTGCAACATGACATAAAGGTTATAGAGTGCGGTCAGCCTTATTTTTGACATCAATTGGAATCAGGATGATCTCACCGGGTTGTAGCTTTAAGAATGCACACAGTTGGAGGGATCTTGTCGTAATTTCATATTCTCTTTGTAATTCTGCTACCAGATAGAAGGATTAAACGTTTAGACTACTTTTCACCCAGATATTGCTAATGATGCCTGGATCAGTTGAAATACTATTTTTAGTTTTATCCAGCAATTAAGAATAGAATGCCAAACTGCACTGTTATAGACATATTTCCATTCTCTCAAGCCTATTTCACAGTGAAATCTGAAAAGCAAGGCCCATCCCCGGTTATGCTAAACTTTCCCTGATAGTTCATACACTTTTTATTGAGTTAGCACATATTCCAACTCAGGATTCACACAGAAATTTTTTTTCATGACAAAATAATATAAAAGAACATTACAGCTTGTTTCGTGTTTCTATGGTTGATGTTTGAATGGCTTACATTTGATGTTCTAGACAAGTGTAAGTTGATGCATGTCGCAGGAATATGTTAGCTGTCCATTGTTTGCAGCAATTTCATTGAACTTCACAATAGGGTAGTCTTATTTTCTTTTTTCTTTTTCTTTTTTTTCTGCTGGTGAAGGCTAGTTGTATATGCTTTGTGCTAAGGATTGCTCGCACGCTGATTATCTGGCCTATAAGATAGAATATGTGGGAACTGGTGTATTCGGTTTTATGATCACATCTCCCTTTTTCTCAGGAGAAATGCCTCCTAATATTACGCTTTCTGTTAATCTCGAGAAGACCTTAAGAAACAAAAACGTGCCGATCTTGAAAACATAGTAGGTGGCAATCTTGAAAACATAGTGGAACATCATCAACCCCGTCATAAACTGCCTTATATCCATTAGCACAATTTGTTTCTAAGATCTGTTGGTGAACATAGCAATGTTGCAGACAAATCACACAACTTAACGTGTCATGCACCCAGGGTAACATGCCATACTACAATTGAAAGCATATCAATATCCTAAATAAATAATGTGCGGTAGAGTGTTTCATGCATTGAAACACATTCTAAATGTAAATTGTTTGGAGATCATACACAGACGAGGAGCAGCACAACGCAGCTTTGCAAAAGGAACGTCATCCAAGCGTGCCCAGGAACAATCCACAACAGCTAACCCTTTCCTACTAATTAAGCCATAATCTTCCTTTGAGACACATTGCTTTCCAGCAGGACTGAAAATATGGGAAAACTATAAAATAGGAAGATGAAATGGGACATTTGAATAATATAGACACAAACATATATGTGTGTGCGTGACTCTCCTCCAATTGAGCCGTAAGGATTGATGTAAACAATTTATTTATTCAAAGTAGGGTACTAACTCCTAAGGTATAAATCAACATAATCCATATGAAACAAACGAAACCCAATTACCCGAACATGATGCCAATTTCAAATCCAACCCCGTCTTAAGAAATTTGTCTAAAAAGAAAAAAAGAAAAAATCAAATAGATTGATCCAGTTCCGACTCTACGTTAAGTTACATAGCAAATTATATTGTATTTTAAGTTAATTATAGAACAAATTAATAAATTACCTTGTGAATCTAAAATTAATACATAGACTAAAACTACATTATTTCCATTTCTCTTAAAGTATTGTTAAACTGTCAAATAAGGATTCTTTAAGCCCCAATTCAAATTCAAATATTGGATCTCGCCAGATTTAAGCTTAAACCAATAGTCTACTTTATGGTTTGACTAATCATCCAAGTCAAGTATGACTCGGAACTCTATTCTGATAATGACTCGGAACTATATTATGATAATCATGATTATCAAACAACTCATGATTGACATAGAGATGTCTCATATTCATCTTCATTAAATTGCATTGTACTGCCTGATACCATTTCACGATGTCGCTGTAGGTCTTGAGTCTCTCGTTGTGTTCAACTTTCTTTTTTCATGTGTATCGCTCGATACCGCATGAGGCCGTAATCAATAACTCACATTGCCTTCTGAGTCGATGATGAATACAACAACCTCAAACCATGGTCTACACCCCCACATGATACCTATAAACTATTTCATATAAGTAATAATTCATTCCTATCAGTTTTGTGCCTATAAGTACATAGGTGTCTCTCCATATGCTTGATTTATTGCTAAATAGACTTGGTTCTCCTGGAAAAGATCGAGGACCAATGCAAATGGATGCTTTTCAACTATTGATGAATTGCATACTCATTAGCACTCCTATTGGGTAGGTTATACGTAAGCAATTCCAGTTTTGTTCATCAAACTCCCCACTGCAGGGGTGGGGGTGGGGGTGGGGGTGGTGTCAGTGGTGATGGTGGTGGAGCAAT